ACAGACAGGAGCGACCTGTTCTAAACCCATGTTGCCCTGGGTTGTGTAACTGATGGGTTTTAGATGGGTGGTGATCTTGCTTCTTAGGACCCTTTCAAAGATTTTTATGATATGAGATGTTAGTGCTATTGGTCTGTAGTTCTTTGCTGTTGCTTTACTGCCACCTTTGTGGAGTGGGGCTATGTCTGTTGTTTTTAGTAACTGTGGGACTACCCCCGTGTCCATGCTCCCTCTCCATAGGATGGAAAAGGCTCGTGATAGGGGCTTCTTGCAGTTCTTGATGAACACAGAGTTCCATGAGTCTGGCCCTGGGGCAGAGTGCATGGGCATGTCATTTATCGCCTGTTCGAAGTCATTTGGCGTCAGGATAACATCGGATAGGCTTGTGTTAATCAAATTTTGTGGCTCTCTCATAAAAAATTCATTTTGATCTTCGACTCTCAGTCTGGTTAGCGGCTTGCTAAAAACTGAGTCATATTGGGACTTGAGTAGCTCACTCATTTCCTTGCTGTCATCTGTGTAGGACCATCTTGTTTAAGTAGGGGCCCAATACTGGACGTTGTTCTCGATTTTGATTTGGCATAGGAGAAGAAATACTTCGGGTTTCTTTCGATTTCATTTATGGCTTTTAGTTCTTTCCCGCGATTCCTGACTCCTAAAGGATTCTTTTAGCTTAAGTTCGATGCTTGCTATTTCTCTGACCAGTGTCTCCCTACGCATTTCAGATATATTGACCTCTTTTAGCCGCTCTGTTATTCTTTTCCGTCGCCTGTAAAGGGAGCGCCTGTCTCTTTCTATTTTACATCTACTCCCCCTTTTTCTTAGAGGAATAAGCCTTGTGCATACATCGAGTGCCACCGAGTTAATCTGTTCTAGGCATAAGTTGGGGTCTGTGTTGCTTAGTATATCTTCCCAGCTTATATCGGTTAGGACTTGGTTTACTTGGTCCCACTTTATGTTTTTGTTATTGAAGTTGAATTTGGTGAATGCTCCCCTCGTGAACTAGTCTCATTATGTCGGTCTGGGGCTCCACGCATACATGTCTGAACCTCAATTATGTTGTGATCTGAGTATATTGTTTTTGATATGGTGACATTTCTTATCAGATCATCATTGTTAGTGAAGATGAGGTCTAGTGTATTCTCCAGTCTAGTAGGCTCTATTATTTGCTGGTTTAAATTGAATTTTGTGCAGAGATTTAAAAGCTCGTGTGAGTGTGAGTTTTCATCAGAGCTGCCTCCTGGTGTTATTACTGCAACAATATTATTTGCTATATTCCTCCATTTTAGGTGCCTTAAGTTGAAATCCCCCAGGAGCAAGATGTTGGGTGCAGGAGCTGGATGATTTTCCAGACAGTGGTCAATTTTTAAAAACTGTTCCTGGAATTGCTGGGATGTTGCATCCGGAGGCTTGTAGACTACCACAATGACTAGGTTTTGGTTCTCGACCTTTACTGCTAAAACTTCCACTACATCATTTGAGGCATTAAAGCAGTTCTGTGCAAACAAGTGACTCTGCAATGTACAGGCCAACCCCCCCCCCCCTTTTGCCTGTTCACTCTGTCACATCTGTATAGGTTGTAACCTGGGATCCATATTTCGTTGTCCAAGTGATCCTTTATGTGGGTCTCAGTGAAAGCCGCGAACATTGCCTTTGCCTCTGCAAGCAGTCCACGGATGAAAGGTATTTTGTTGTTTGTTGCTGGCTTTAGACCCTGTATATTTGCAAAGAAGAATGTTATCGGACTGGTGGTATTGTTGGTACTGGGGGGGATTTTTTTTTCCGGCATTAGTATCTGTATCTGTTGGTTTGGAGTGGAGGCCATCGACTGTGGTTCCACTCCAGGAATGACTGGATTTGGTGTACGATTTCTGCCATTTCCTGCCAGTTTTTTTTCCTTCCTTGCACTAAAAAACCTCTCCCTCTTGAGTGGCTGTGGCTACCCAGGTTTTCCCATGGCCTGGATGTTTTGTATCTTTTTGTCCCCTTTAGATGGTATGCCTGGCAATTTAAGTTATAGCACAGTCTTTCCTGTACTGAAGAGGTACACAGTTCAGGGTGAAAAAGCTTACAGGAAGGGATTTTGCATTTTCCTGTTGTCATATGGGCATGGCATTTTCTAGGGTGGTCATAGTTGCACGTCCCATCTGTTTTTCCAGATTTCCCATGCCAGCAGATACCAAGTGCATAGTATGTGCACAGGCTTGGTTTCCGTTTGCCTTGGGTTTCTGTGACTGTATTCCCTGTTGGTGCATGTTTCCCTGTCTTACTAAAAACAATAGACATAGCCCCACTCCACAAAGGGGGCAGTAAAGCAACAGCAAAGAACTACAGACCAATAGTTGCTGATAATAATATATCATTATTTCTATGAGTACATGTACAAGGTATATAGGCCTAGCTGACATCAGTGACATTCTTCTATATAAAAAGCTGCTGTTTATGCAAAGCATTTCCAGCAAATTAGGTCAGTTTTGTTCCAGGATGCGACCCACACCAGTCGACTAACCCCCAGGTACCCATTTCATACTGATGGGTGAACATGGACAGCAGGTGTTTTAACTCTTTGACTATTTCGGTCGTATATACGTCTTACGAGCCACCGTTTTTGACGTATACATATATACACATTAATTTTAGCGGCTTCAAATCAAGCAGGAGAAAGCTGGTAGGCCCACATATGAGAGAATGGGTCTGTGTGGTCAGTGTGCACCATATAAAAAAAATCCTGCAGCACGCAGTGCATAATGAGAAAAAAAAAGACCGTTTTTTTTTTTAACCCTTTCAGGGTCCGTCCCGTAGATCTACGGCTTTATGTTCAGCTCACTCTGATAAACTGTGTGGTACATTTGGGCCTAGATATGAGAGAATACATCTATGTGGTATGAGTGCACCACATAAAACAAATCCTGCAGTACACTGTGTATAATGAGAGAAAAACTGAGACCATGATTTTCGATTAAAACAGCAACTTTGCAGTGTTTTTTCATGTGTTTTTTATAGTTGTACTTGCGATTTCTTGGTCTCATTTGATAGAATGGAAGACATATTACAAAAATGGAGATGATTTTGATTGGTTTTAGCACAGGAAATGGCTTGAAACTGAGCTCAAAGTAGCGGAAATGTTAAATTTTTGCAGATGTTCAAGAGTAAACAAACGACCTCACACGTTCAATACACACCAGCTGGTGGGTCTGATATACATTCACAAATGTGGTGATGATATTTATACAATTATTACAATATTGCATAATGGTATGAATATTGCATAACGGTGTGAATAAAAATTCATTATGTGAATAAAAAATCAAAATGGAATTTATTTGTAAAGCCTCAAAATATAACTAATGAACAGAGGAAATGTTAGTTTAGTGCCAGGAATATCTACATTGTTTATTCTGGACCCTATTTTGAAATTGGAATATTTTGAACTTTGTGTTAAATTGGCCAAATTACCAATTTCCGATCACTTTATTTTGTAGTTGAAACAGTTGACCTGGTGATTTCTTGTGCTCAGTCGATAGAATAGAAGTAATACTAGTGAAATAGCTAAGAATTTGGTCGACTGGAATAATGTAATTGGCCTAAAATGGGAGTCAAAATTGGCAAAATCGCCGATTCGTAAATATTGCTGACACATCAAAATTCACGAGAGCATAATTTCGTCAATTTTCCATCAAATTTCGTACTTTTTGTTTTATTACCTTCACAAAACGATTCTCTACCATTTCATAAGAAAAAATAACAATTTTTTTTTTTAAATTCTTGGACACTGGGGTACCACTTCAGATTTTGGCCTTGGACCCTGAAGGGGTTAATTAAAATGCTGACTTTGTGGTCTATTTTCGCATAGTATTTATGGTTGTATTCTCGTTTTCTTGGTCGCATTTGATAGAATGGAAAACGTATTATAGAAATGAAAGTGATTTTGATTGGTTATACTATGAAAAGTAGGGGAAATGTTTGATTTTTGCCTATGTTCAAAAGTAAGCAAATGATGTCATTTTCCAATGTCCAACTAGCTATTCTAATATGCAGTCATGAATGGGTTGACATTATTTATACAATTATTACAATATTGCAATAGTCTGCATAACAGTAAATCTTCTGTTTTTTGCTTGAATAAAAATTCAAAATAGAAAACAAGAGTAATATCAAAGGGTCCTGGAGATGTGACTGATGAAGAAAGAAAATGTTATTATAGAGCCAGGAATGTCTGCATTGGCCATTCTGGACCCTGTTTTGAAATTGTCATATTTTTTAATTTTTGTGAAATTGGCCAAATTGCAAATTTCTGACCACGTTATTGGGTAGTTGAAATCGGTAAATGGGCAGTTTCTTGTACTCAATTGATAGAAAAAATGGAATTCTAAAGACATGGCTATGAGTTTGGTCGACTCGAACAATGGAATTAGCTGAAAATAGGGCTCAAATTGGGCGAAATCACCGATTCGTAAATATCACCAAGGTTGCTAACTTTGCGAGAGCGTATTCCATGAGTTTTCCATCAAATTTCGTTCTTTTGGTGTCATTACAATCGGGAAAAGATTCTCTATCATTTTATAAGAAAAAATAATTTTTTTTTTTTTCAAATATTTTGCAACTCCAAGAGACACCTCAGGATTTGGGTTTGCGACAGTCAAAGGGTTAAATGATTTTTTACATATCACATTAAATATTTGTCTAAACTGCTTAATAATACTGACATAAGAAAGAATGAACATATTCGGAATGAAATCCTGTGGTTAGTTTTCTATTTAGGAGTTGTGCATCAAACAAAAGACTGTGGGTGCGAAGGAAAAAACATGAGTAAACAAAGCTATCCCTAATTGGCCTTCAGTTAGAACATTATACTGTATGATTGAATCATGTGGATTATGAAACACATGAATTCTGGATTTCAGCTATGTTAGTTAAAGGTTTCTTTGTTGACTGTGTCTCATTTACCATCTGTCAGCTTGTAGCCATTCATTTACATACACTGAGCTGTTGGTTTTCAGAATGAGTGGGATGAGCTGCGGATTTTGTTGTATGAGTACCTACCTTCTGCTGTGATTGTCACACTCAATATAATCATCCCTTTCATACTCAGGTGAGTACCTATAGTAAAATCTCTACATTTGCTATCCGTGTTCACCTATAAATTAATAGGTAACTAAATATTAGTCATGTGTTGTGCATTATAACCTAAGAGAACAAAGGACCCCAGTAGAAATAATCAACTCTGCTGGAATTTCTGGGGTTTATAATCCAAAGAAAGTCATCTTTTTGTGGGCTTTAATTATTCAAGATTTCCAGGTCAAATTAGCACTTCACTCTCAGTTATGTTGTCTTTTGGTTGTATTTTAATGATCCTTTTTTATGCTAATTCTGTCCCCCAAAAAATAATGTATGAATATACATTAAATTCTTTCATTTTTTTTTTTAATCTTTTAGCGAAGCTTTTATACATTAACGTTAAACTTTTTTTTTTGGGGGGGTAAATTTTTTTGGAAAATGTCCTTTGCCCTTTTTTTTGTCTAGTACTCTCTTGGTGTATATAAGTTGTGTAAGTAATTCCACTAGATGCATTATCCTACTCTTCGCTAGTTGATCATGCAGCCACAAGCAGCTAATTGTGAAAGAGAACTGCCTTCTGAATGCCACATTAAAGGCTAAAAATTATTCCACACCAATAGCGTCAACAGGAATGGTGGTGGAGTAACTATGTATTTTCTTTCTTTCAACACACCGGCAGTATCCCATTGAGGCGGGGTGGCCCAAAAGGAAAAACGAAAGTTTCTCCTTTTACGTTTAGTAATATATACAGGAGAAGGGGTTACTAGCCCCTTGCTCCCGGCATTTTAGTTACCTCTTACAACATGCATGGCTTACGGAGGAAGAATTCTGTTCCACTTTCCCATGGAGATAAGAGGAAATAAACAAGAACAAGAACTAGAAAGAAAATAGAAGAAAACCCAGAGGGGTGTGTATATATATATGCTTGTACATGTATGTGTAGTGTGGCTTAAGTGTAAGTAGAAGTAACAAGACATACCTGAAATCTTGCATGTTTATGAGGCAGACAAAAGACACCAGCAATCCTACCATCATGTAAAACAATTACAGGCTTTCGTTTTACACTCACTTGGCAGGACGGTAGTACCTCCCTGGGCGGTTGCTGTCTACCAACCTACTACCTAGGAACTATGTATTTACTGAGATAATTTAAATTTTTGCATTAGACAAGATATAAAAGTGGAAGCAATGGTCATTGAATTTCTTTGGCTACAGTTTCTCTAGGAACATGATTTCAGGCCCCTAAACTTTGATAAACACAGTAAACTTCTGTGAGAGGAAATTACTGAGGCATCTGGATATAAAAATGTTGTGTTAATGGGAAATTTTAACTTTTCTAAAGTTGATTGGAGCAATTTGATAGGAAATCTTGAATCTAACAACTTTCTTGATACAAGCCAGGATTATTTTTTAAACAGTTTGTGACAGAACCAACTAGAGGAAATAACCTGCTTGACATGGTTCTTACCAACAAGGAATCATTATTTAATGATCTTGAGATTAATAATGTCAAAATTTGTGATTTCATGGAGATGAGGTATTATCTGGGTGGGGTCAACTGGTGTGACTTGACAGGCCATTTATCCTGTGTGTCAAGTACGTGGTGATGGTTGCTAGTATGACATTTTTCAGAGTATAGTTCTAGTTGCCCAGGCAACATATACTCCAAATTGGGAAATTAGATCAAATAAAAATTCTTCTAAATGGATAAACAATAGATCAAAACATCTCATGGGTCAAAAGAGAGGCATTTACAGGCAGATCAAAAGGGGAAAGAGAAAGGGCACTTAAGGAATCAATATATTAAAACTGAGAGAGAAATAAGAAAAGCCAAGAGATTATGAAGTTTAAGTCAGAAAGGAATTGAAGATTAACCCTAAAGGTTTCTTTCAGGTATATAGGTAGTAGGTTGGTAGACAGCAACTGTCCTACCAAATGAGTGTGAGACAGAAACCTGTATTTGTTTTACATGATGGTAGGAGTGTGGGTATCTTTTTTCTGTTTCTCAAACAAACAAGATGACAGGTATATCTTGCCACTTTTACTTACAATTAGGTCACACTACACATGCATATACACGTTTATGTATACACACTCATCTGAGTTTTCTATGATTTTATCTTAATAGTTCTTGTTCATATTACTTTTCCTTTCATATCCATGGGGAAGCAGAATAAGAAACTTTACTCTGTAAGCCATGCGTGTTGTAAAAGTCAACTAAATGCCAGGAGCAGTGGGCTAGTAACCCCTTTTCCCATACAGCTTACTAAAAATAATAATAAGAAAACCGTCAGAGTGGGATTTTTTAATGTGCGTAGGTGTAGTATGAATCATAAGAAAGAGATGATTTTGGATGCTATGAATGAAAAGAAGCTGGATATCCTGGCTCTAAGTGAAACAAAGCTGAAGGGGGTAGGAGAGTTTCAGTGGGGAGAAATAAATGGGATAGGACAGTGGGCATCCAGCAGCAAGAGCCTGATTGACCAGGCGAGCACCAGACGAGACTGGCCCATGGCCGGGCTCCGAGAATAGTGAAACTCTCAAAACTTATCAAAGGTATATCAAATGTATAGGGTCAGGGGTTTCTTAACCCTTTCAGGGTCAACCGGCCCTCTCCCAGACTTGTTCTCAGGGTCGAAAAATATTCGAAAAAAAAAATGCTTTTTTCTTAGGAAAGGTAGTTTTTTTTCTAATCTTTATAGGCTAAAAAAAATTTTTTACCATCAATACTTACCGAGATATGGAGACGTGAAGTTGACAGAAAGTGAACCGCATACGGCAACATTGCTGACTGCCGGTCACCCAGTAATCGTTTATTTTGTTTTTTCTACTTTTTTCTTTTATTTTTTATTATTTTTTCTTTTCAAGTAACTTATATGGCCTGTGAGACCAATATGAGCAACTATTTTGTAAATTTTTACTCTTTGTATACTACACAATAACTGCACAAACACTGTTGTCATTATATTGATTACAGTACTTGTTTACACAAATGAACAATATAAAATGTTGTTTATTACTATTTTTCTATATTTTATATACACATATACAGTCACAGGACATGTTTCTAGAAGTTCTGCAGTCTGTGGAAGTCTTTGAAACATGGTGTCATGCACAGTGATGTTTTACACTCCTCACACATAAAACGAGTGTCTCTGCATTGTTGTGGGTGTTTTTTTTGTATGTGCACAGACATAACACCTCTTCTGAGCCTTTTTCTTGAAAGCAGTAGCAGGCAGTTTTATTAGGAAGTGATCACCATGCTTCAGACAAGAAGGTAGTTGTTGATAATTTAGTGGGCAGTCTATTGCAGGTGTTGTTCCTTGGTACTTGAATACTATTTGCCTGATGACAGACAAAATTTGCCATATGCTGGTTTGTTTCAGGTTCTCATCTTATACATATTATAAGCATTGAGCATGGAAATGTCCAGAAGATGGAAAAATAGTTTTATGTACCACTTATAACTCTTGCAAACACAATCAGCAAACCCAATCTGCATGTCACATTTGTCCACTGAGTGCATGTTGAGAGTATAGTCCATCACAGCTGCAGGTTTTAGAATGGGTTCATTGGTCTCTCTATTTTGGTCTCTCTATTCTGAACTGATGACAACAGTGTAACATCTCGTTTGTCATGCCACCGAAATGCCATGATGTCATTGACAGCAAACGCCTGCACCTCACCTCTACGAGTGCCAGCGTCAAACCTGGGCATATGCTTACAATTTCCACGCACTGTGCCACACACATCTGTCATGTTCACTCACAAAAAATCACTGAGGGAGGGGCTTGGTTACCAGTTATCAGTATATAATATGTGCTCCTTACCAAGATATGGTTCCATCATTGTTCTAACTGCATCACCAGAGATGCCCAATAACTTCCTGGTATTTTGCAATGTATTACTTCCAGTGTACACAATAATATCCAATACAAGATTACAATAGCAGTCACCAAGCACAAACAACTTTATACCAAAGCGTTTCCTCATGCTTGGCATGTACTGCTTGAATGACAGTCTTCCTTTGAACAGAATCAAAGAATCATCAATAACAAGCTTCCTGAAGAAATAAAAATACATATTGAATTTCTCATTCAGATACACAAACACATTCCTAATCTTATATAACCTGTCATTTCTGTCAGGCCTGGTTTTGTCTGAGAAGTGAAGCATGCGTAATAGTAGCACAAATCGGTTCACTCCCATTATATCACAGGAACCTGGGGTTGCAATCAGGCGGTCTGTTGACTAGTATGATTTGACACTGTGCTTATACACATGTGGCACAAGCATTATTGTGGCAAAGTAAAGATACATCTCAGCCACAGTTGTCTCCTTCCACTGGTGTAGGTGTGATTTTGGTGAAAGTATTGTGTTTGCTATGGTGTACTTGAAGTATCTGTTGCTTTCCCTGACAATAATTTCCATCAGGGGTTCGTCAAAGAATAACTCAAAACATTCTAGTTCAGTGGCATTGTTCCCAAGTGCACAAGATGGCCGTATTCCACTTTGACTTCCATCATAGTGATGGGGATTGGGAACAAAATTGTCAGCTTCATGCCAATCCCAGGTGCGGTCTGCTGGTGGGTACTAGATATTGACAGGTGGTTGTGGTTGTGGAGGTTGTGGTTGTGCAGGCTGGTGTGGTGGGTGGGTGGGGGATGGTGGCCTTTGTTGTAGTTCAGCTGAGGCAGTGGCATGGCTGGCAGCATGGCCTACTGCTGGTGCCTCACGGCTGGCACCACCACTACCACCACCAGATGCATACACATTTTCCATCCCAATTGCAACACTATCATCTTCATTTTCACTATCTGTTCTTCCCAAATATCTGAAAACATTCACTTCTTCCATACTCCTCCTCCTCCTGGAGTTTACCTGGAGAGAGTTCCGGGGGTCAACGCCCCTGCGGCCCGGTCTGTGACCAGGCCTCCTGGTGGATCAGAGCCTGATCAACCAGGCTGTTACTGATGGCTGCACGCAAACCAACGTACGAGCCACAGCCCGGCTGGTCAGGAACTGACTTAGGTG